ACTGTAGATCAGTCACATTACCTGTATAAGTGAATTTGTTTATAGTACAATAAATAAAGTTAATGTTTGTTGAGCCTACCCTCTACTGAAGTCATATTATCGGTGTAATTTTTTTTAAAGTACCTACATGGCATTCTCAATTTATAAATCACCTTTATTTTATCGTTAAATGGGGATCTATTGTTCTAGGGGGTATCCGGATGTCTTAGTAACATCTGTTCCCGGATCCCTCCTATATTAGGCGCAGAGTGGCACACCGTGTTGGTTTTAGTCGGTTCGATTTCGACACACCGCCCCGTCGCAAAACCCAAGTCGAGTGTCGGTAAGAGGGGGATAAAAAGGGATCTCTTGTTAGTCGTTAGTTGTAATTAAATCTTAAATTTAGCTCATCAAGCACTAGGTCTCTGTGTGTTAAAATTTTATACTCACAGTTATAAAGGGGAATTAAATGATAACAGACGATTAGTGATACAGGGACGAAATTAAAACGATTTACAACAGAACAGTTACTTTATTATCTTCAATTTAAATTGGCGTGTAATTTATGTATGCCCAATGGAATGGATGGCATTAAATAGTCCACTGCTGGACAAAAGCCTCTCCTTACAAAGGAGGTTTTGGCCTACTATAACACGCTGGCAGACGGGTTGGCATAGAGTTTGTTTCAAGCTTTCCTTCTCTTTGCAGTGCGACTAGACGTTTGCGTTAGACGACTTTTACGACACCCACGGGATGAATCTGAAGGTTATTGAATAAATATAAAGTTATTTGTTTTTAAAGTTCTAGTGTATTAATAGACAACAAATTTTGACAACAGTTATTAAATCTACAAAATTTAAGGCGTAATCTACTGAGAGTCTTAAATGGTTACGAAATAATTAATTGCTTTGGCTCAAACTGAATAGGTATTGCTACACCAACGAACCCTTAACTGAGTCGGCTGAAAACGACTGTACTAAGCTGTCTGAATTTAGCAACAACAGCAGTGATGTACCACTTGAACGTGACCTGTCTATCGTTGCTTATAAAAACCTTTCTCCACCACCGCGAAACTTGCCCCGACCCAAATCACAGGGGTAGCAAATATCAAAACAAATGTAATAAAACTGTATAAGAGGTTCAACATTCTAAACAATTCAAAGGTAATCTATGTTCTTATTTTTATATTAAAAGTGGCCTGGTGGTATAATGGTTAGTGATCCTGGTGATTATGCTAATTTAGAGGTTGTGGGTTCGATTACCACCTAGTATAAATAATTAGAGGCCTATGTCCAGCAGTGAGTTAGAATACTTGTTCTATGTATGTGTGATCTATTATATGGATGTATTTGGAAATGTATAAGTATGTTTATCAAGAGCCTGAGTACGATGACACAGGCTCTGCCTGATCTGAATCAAGGCTAATTCTCGTAATAATACTTTGGTCACAATTTAGTTCCGGTCAACTTTCCTTCCTTCCTTCTTTCAAAAGGTATTAAACGTCCAATGTTGACTGTAATGTGATTATATTGTATTGTGACCGAAAATTGAACCGGTAATCTGGTAGTACTTTAGAAATACTTTATTATTTTACTATGAAAATACCTTTTTATGGCAGTTGCGAGACCGAGAATCGACCGGAACTAAATTAGGACCGAACTGATATTGCGGGAATTCGCCCTTCGGGGGGCCGCGTGTGAGATGTGTAAAGTTTTAGTATTTTTATTATTTTTGTAATGATTGTAAAGTAATATACTATATATTTGATTATAATGTGTTTCTTTTATTTTAGATATCTACCCAGAAGTATAAAGATCTATGGCCACCTCAACAGTACCTGGGTAGTAGTATTTCAACACTTTGTGGGTTATAAATACCCCGAAAAAAGACTTATGACTTCAAATAAAAAACTGAGACCCACCCACAAAAGTGAATTAATTGTCAATCCTCTATTACACACACTACAGACAAAGATATACATGACACAAACATATATTATGTAAGTAAAGATGTTATAGTATACAGCTCAGAACGCCAATTTTGGTCATAAAAGTTCGGTCACAATTCAGTTCCGATCAAGTCTTGATCTCACAACTGTCAAAAAAGGTATTTTTGAACATCCAAAAAATTTAACCCCGGGAATTGAATCGGTGATCAATTAGTTAGTCTTAGTATTACTTTACTATTTTAACCGAATTTTGATCTCTCTTTGTAACCTCTCAATGATATTTAAAAAAATATAGGAATAAAACAGTAATACAAGTATTTTAGTAATTATATGTAAATGTATATTAAACCACCAAATTCATCGGGAGTTTTATTGTACGCTCTTTCTCTAGTATTATATTATTAGTAAACTAAAGAGATAATAACACTACTCTGAGTTAATCCAATAATAAAAATATTGCGAGTAAAACGCATGCAACTGATTCGGTTAGCAAGCGAAGCTGGCTGGTACTACCGCAGACATCGGGGGCAGGAGGGGGACTCCGCTCTCCTTCATACCGCACCCCAGCGTTGCTCATCTAAGTGGCTGAGTTGACTTCCTATTAGTATTTATTTTACAATATCTGCCAACAACAACAACTAAGGTGGTACAGACATATTACAGTAGAAACGAGAAAACAAAATAAATTGTTTGCCTTAATTTGTTTACCTATAAAAGAGTGCCCAACTCAAAACAGCGGCAGCGTTTGTTTAAATATTATTAATATTATTGGTAAAATTAAAAGGGACATGCAATGCATAATACCTATGGGAAGCCTAATTCGAATTCGAAGTAACAACTAGGTATCACGGTGCGTGTAAGAGGGGAATTTAATAATAATAATAGCGTCACAGGTCTGGCACACGGCCGTCTGAACCCACATTAGGATGGCCCTTTACGACGGTAACTAGACTGCTGATAAACATACTTACCTATATATTTCGAAATACAATCATATTATAAATAAACTACACCGAGACAGAACAAATGATCGTGCTTCACAATTATTTGTCTTCGGTGGGAATCGAACCCACGACCTAGCCTTTTACTAGCTTAGATGTGAAATTTCCAAAAATCCTTTCATAGTGGGTGCTTACACATAAAAAGCATCAACTGCCAAAATTTCAAGATTTTTTTCATGGAAGAGCGGACAGACGAGCAGTCGGGTCACCTGATGGAAAGTGACTACCGCCGCCCAAGACCCCTGCAACTCAGGAGTCACAAACGATCCGGCAATACCGCAGATGACAATTTGTTCTACAGATTAGTGATGCGAGGCATAGTTGCTGCCGGTATTAGTCCAAACAATTCCTCGGAGCACTCGCCATGATATATACGAGATTGTAGCCCCGCGATTTAGGCTCTGCGTTGATGAATCAGGTAATCACGCAGGGAGGGCAAATAATTTTATATGTATGTATAGATTTGATTAAATGTGCGAAGTTTTAATTCTATCCGACATTTTGAACTAATGCGTGAAAATCACGTTCAAAGATTCCTTTAAAGAGATACATACCATGCTAATGATATACTAAGTAATGGCTTCCCGGCTAATAGATTTCTAAACGACACAATTAAGAAAAGAAAATATCATTAACTGTGGGTAGGTACATAAATATAACACTTGCGTTCATCGTATCGCACTCGTAACAGTTCGATGACAACGCTCGCCGTTTCGCGCAGCCGCCATTTGCGATGATTGTTAATTTTTAACAAAATAATCCAATATATACTGTAATACAGTAATTGTGTGAATATAAAATTAACTTCATCTTTAAGGTACGTATTTTGTCATGTACTTTTGTTTCTATATAATTTCTTTTCAATTTGACAAGTATTAGTTTAAAGGTATACCTCGAACATTTAAAAAAAATACCAATTATCATGCGAATTATTATTGAGTGGAGACCGCGTCTCGGAACGTAGTGTAGGACGCCCACAGGCTAGGTGGAGTGACGATTTGCGCAAGATGGCTGGCAGGAGCTGGTTGCGAGAAGCCCAAAATCTATCTAAGTGACGTGCAATGGGAGAGTCCTATGTCCAGCAGTGGACTGCGATATTCTGATGATGATGCCCTGTAAGAGTAGTTAGATTTTGAATAATTTGCTTTTCTATTCAAATTTTTGGAATATAATTAACTCTTAAAACTATCGCTGACCTAAGTCATCAAGAATAAAATACAGTTCATCTCAAGAACTGTATTCTTCATGAAGTCCAAGCTAGCGCAACTTCGTCTGTGTCTTTGAAAGGCAATAATTTCTCCCCGTTTTTGCAACATTTTTCGTTGACGCTGGCTCCTATTAATCGTAACGTGATATTAAGTCTTTAGCCTTCCTCAATAAATACGCTATCCAACACTTAAACATTATTTTATCGAACCAGTTATTCCTGAGATTAGTACGTTCAACCAAAGACACTCATCAGATTTATAATTTTAGTATAGATTAGAAATGTTAGATTTTGCATGCACCTTCCACAAATATAACTTATCCACTAAAACACTTTACATTGGATTCGAATTGCACATTAACTAATGAGAATCTAAATCTATTTTTTTTTCTAAATTACCCACATAGTGACCTAATTACGTCACGGGATATCTAGACAACTGCGAAAATTTAACTGGCCTCGTAAGTTGGTCTGGTTAGTGACCCTGACTGCTAAGCCAGAGAACATGGGTTCGATTCCCACCCAGGACAAATAAATGTGTGATGATCATTTTTGTTCTGTGTCTGGTTGTAATTTATCTATTTAGAAATAAATTATGATTATCAGCAGTCTGGCTACCACAGCACAGATTCTTACCTAGTTTGGCATCAGACTGGCATATGTCAGACGTGTGAAGTAATTACTATTATTAGCTGTTACACAAAAATACAAATTACCTTGCAATATTAAAATGACTATTCTATTCATAAAAACTGAGAGATCTCAGTTAAAACAAAGATAGAGAAATTCATAGCTTTTTTTGCAGGGACATCCCACGCTCCATCATACCTCAACGGGACACCTGGACTAACGGTGAAAAAAAAAAATGGCATCGAACGGCGAAATAGACCAACTGTAAGTACATACATAAACCTATATGCACACTTCCTTTTGGGAAGTAACAATACAGTACATATGCTTAAAAAACATTCATAAAGTTCTTTGAAACTGACTTTAATGTTATAGTATAGATATCTGAACATACATATAACTAGATTAGATTTGTTAAGGTTAAGTACAAATGGTGTTTGATCTAAATTAATCACGTTTTTTTAAGGTAGATCTTAAATTAGCTGAATTCTTTAATACATTCCTAATTCCTGTCTTAAATTTATGTTGGGAATATTATGTGAAACGGTTAAATTAAAAAATTTGAACTACCGTGCACACTACACGAATAACTATTTTTTTTTTCTCTCGTGACTATATAATTAAATGAGAAAATTTAGTTTGGTACTTTTATCAATTGACTGCCTTGGAGGTACAATTTTAACGTATGCGACTGCTGTACTGAGTTCTCGGGTTCGATTCCCGGATCGGATCAAATGTTTGTGTGATCTGCAAATGTTTGTTTCGGCGTTTGGGTGTTTTTATGTATAATACGTATATGTATGTATTTACAAAAAAAGTATTCTATCAGTCAATCTACCTTTCATAGTACAAGCTGTGCTTAGTTTGAAACTAGATGGCGGTGTGTGTCAGATGTCCGAAATATTAATATTAATGCTCATTCAGACAAACACTATAACTTTACTGTTTCTGAAAAGATTTCTCTTTTCTAACCTAATTTCATCAAAATTTCAATGAAATTGAAAGATTCATTTAATTATTGAACAAGAAACTTACATTTCTTAATTACTCTCTCTTGACTCTGCTGGTCAAGTTGTTAATAACCCTGATTGCTAAACCAGAGGTTCGATTCCTACCCAAGAAAAATAATTTTGTGTCTATACCTAATATGTGTATATTAGTAGTCTGGTTACCATAGTACTGGCTTTGCCTGGTTTGGGATCAGACTGCCGTGTGTGAGATGCGTCAAGGTATTACCTGGTCTACTCTAACATCTATTAAAACATGTTCTTAATGAACGTGGAAGTCGTCATAAAACTTTATTATACTTATCTTCTCGTCTCTCTCTTCCAGCATAATGCTGACGGACGAACTAACCACCATAATACCAGACGATGGTAAACCACACTCTCTACTAGAGCCTCCGATCCCCGCTTACACGGACATGACACTGAGACGAGCCTACATCGTGTGGCTCCATTGTGGGAAAATCAACGAGTTCAAACAAGTCTGCGCCTACTTCCACCGCTTGGAGGCTATGGTAAGTAGCAAACAGCATGTACACCCATTTATTTATTTGTTTAATTCTTAATACACAATTAAAATTGCAAAACGACATACTCAATGCCACAGAAATTTCATTTCATCACTATCGTTTCGTCGATGTATGTCGGTAATTATATATTTTTTAATAATTTTAGGAGGAAGAGCTGCCAATGGAAGAACGAGTAAAAAGTCGCCTTCTTGAATACAATCTGATGGCATCACAACCGCCTACTTCCATGTTCCTGAACTCCTATTTTCCCAATCTCTACCGACAGCATAAAAATAACGACGTGGACCCACTTGAAGACAGCAAATTTAATGGCTGTGTGTTTAATCTCGAAGGTTATCACAAACTTCATGTCGATACAGGGATGACGCAAACTAAAATATTAGAAGCGAGTCACACGATTAGAAAATATTGCAGAGAACATTCCAAGTCGTTGAGATGGCTGTTGATGCAATTTCATGACTTTACTCAAAAATGCGACGTCAAAAACTCTGTGAACAACATCGTTATGTTTATCATGAAGAAACTATTAAAAGATGAAATAAGAATGAACATAAACATACCTAAGGATTTCAATTTCCTGGATATTGTCGCCGTTCCAACCACAAGTGAAACTAAGGTTGATGAGAATCCTGCTATTGATGCCAAGAAAGATTCTAATGTTATTGAAAGTGACAACAACACAAAAAAAAACGAAGAAAAAGAAGAGGCAGAAAAAGAAAGCAAGGTACTTCCAGAAGTTCAAACTAAGAAATACAACTTTAAGAACATTATATCTTGGAAGATTGCAGATGACCAAAAGTGTAACAGTAAATATGAATCGTGGATGGAATCATTTATAATTTACAATTATCTTAGGTAATTACTAAGATCTCTTATACATTGTTTTCTCTTTATTACTATTGGAAGGATTTCACTATCCGACGGATTATAATTTAATTAATGAACGATCGTATTCTGTGTATGCGTATTTTAGTTGTAATTGACGACGCAAGATATTGTTGGTAAAATAAATATTGAATAAATATTTTTGTGACAAAAATATTGTCGTGTAATATCGATTAGTTTTCTTAATTCCTTGGCTATATTTAATAGATACGTTATATATTTCATATATTAGTTTGTTGATGACATAGATAATTAAGGAATATCCACTTTTTACTTACGTGACCAAATCTTTACGTTTGAAAAATATTTTTTTTTCGTTTCTGAAACATACCTGAAACAGAGAGATAATATTATTCAGTAACTTCTTAAAACTTTTATTGGCATGGATATCATTGCACTGATTTATTGATATACAACTAGTTATATAAATATATCACATCATCACATCAACAGCCATTAATAGTCCACAGCTGGACATATGTAGGCCTCTCCTTAGAAAGGTTTTGGCCTATTATACCACACTGGCCAGACGGTTTGTTATAGGGTTTGTATCAAGTTTTCCTTCTCTTTGCAGTGCTGTTGTTCTGTGTAGTTTTCTCCCTTAGTCGGCTGTTACGACACCGTTTTTTTTTTCCGTGCGGAAATCCTCTCGGATACCACCTATCGGTGGCATGTCGGACTCGAACCGACTAAAACCGCACGCCGTCTCGGGTACTAATAGCCGGGGAACCAGGTATACCCTAGAAAGAAAGTCCCTGGTGCCCCGACATACCTCGGGCCATCTACAGACGAGTAGACGACCCCCCACGTGTGGGAACCCCATGTTCCCTCTGCTCCCTGGAAGCGAGAGCGCTTCGCAACGTTCTCGCCGCTACCCCGGCCTGCTTCTGCTAGGGTGACAGATGGCCTCACCTGTCACCCCCAGCCCTGCGCTTATGGAGGACGGAGGTCGTTCTGCGACCTCCGGCGCCTGAGTCGCCTGCGGTACCTGGCCCGTTCCCGGGCCTGGCGGGCCGGGAGAGTTCTAAACCTCTCCCGGTCCGCTCCGCCGTCTCCTTAGCGAGCATAACTTGCTCGAAGAAGGAGATGGCAGAGTTCCACGCACTCTCACTCCGCACGATAGCCGCAATCAGGCTATCGAGCGAGAGAATACCCACTCCGATGGCCGCCACGAGGTCTCGCCTCTGCTCAACCCACGCCGGGCACTCTGCCAGCGTGTGGAGAGCCGTGTCCACGGTCTGGCCATCGCAGTGGTGGCACTCAGGCGTTGACTCCTTGCGTATCAGACATAGGTGATCCCCGAAACATCCTTTCCCAGTGATCACCTGCGTCAGTCGGTATGAGAGGGTCCCATCCCATCCCATTTCGCATACTTCAATGTGAAATTTAGAATAATAGGTCTTTACCTAAGAAATTGCCGTTTTGTATGCAATAAATATAAGTGAAAGTACTTATTTTTTCAAACTTTTTTATTTCTGTTATTCGAAGTAATCACCCATGCAATCGACGCATCTTTGCCAACGCATTGGCAGTTTATTTATGACCTTCTTGTAAAAATCAGCTGGACGGAAGGCAACAAACTCTTCAAAGGCATTTTGTACTCCCTTTTAGGGAATTGAATTTTTTACCCACTAAAAAGTTGTCTAAATTTTGGAAAAAGTAATAGTCGGTAGGTGCAAGGTCTGGTGAGTATGGCGGATGAGGGAGAGCTTCCAACCCCAGCTCTTGCAGCTTGGAGACTGTCTGTTGCGCAGTATGGGGTCGCGCGTTGTCGTGAAGGAGCAGTGGGGACGACCGATTGACCAAAGCTGGTTGCTTGGTACTCACCGTATGTATATTATTAATGAGAATGTGAGTTTGTTTGTTTGTCTGTTTCGCTTTCACGTCTAAACCACTAAGGCGATTTTACACACATAGGCATAGGCTACTTTTTACGGCGATAACCGACACACGCGGGCGGAGCCGCGGCAGTCTGTGGCAGACATATAAAAAAGTATAAAAGCTAGAAAAGATGAACTAAAAAGAAGTTTGAAAGAACACATTCCTTTTTCCAAAGACTAATACCGGCTGCAACTTTCCGCTATCGATCCGCACGGCAAAATTTTCATCCCCATCACCTGGATAATTGGCGCTCCACTACTATGCGCTATTCAAGACACTTTTTGCCTGGTACAAGAAGTTAAGAGCGTACCCCTTCCTCAAAGGCCGGCAACGCGTTTGTGACTCCTGAGTTGCAGGCGTTAGTCACTTTCCATCAGGTGACTCGCTTTCCCCTTCTATCATAAAAAAACACTTTCACAACGCCATCTAGTTTCAAACAAAGCAAAACTTGTACTATTAAAGCTAGATTGACTGATAGAATACTTATATTATTTTTTTGTTAATACATTCATATTATACATAGAAAACACCAAAATTCCGAAACAGATATTTGCAGACGACCCGGGAATGGAACCCTAGATCTTAGCACAGCAGTCGCATACGCTACTACTGCACCACTGAGTGATTCAAATATGGTCACCTTCCTCTCTTGTACTTATAAGATAGAATCCAAATACTAAATTTTCAACATGGTTGAATTGATAATCAAATGTTGGTGTGTAAAAACATACGACACTGTGAATAAAATCACAATAAAACTACACAATTTAAAGATAAAAATTGGTTCAATCGAATATTTATTCACTGAATTATCTTTACAGATGGAGACAGATTGACCAAATATAAAACCTACGAAACAACCAATCGGTAGAAAGCCTTCCTTCACCTTAACAGCCTTAACGAGGCACTATTGACTAGTGACGAGTAGTGAGTGACAGGAAGGAGAAAAGCGAAAACAAACAAAGAAATGCTGCTCAAAGTTTGATGATATAGTTTGACTAAATTCTATATCATTATAAGGAATGTAAAATGCGAAATAATATAAACTACTTTTATAGTTTATTTCAACATACTTTTTATTTATGTTTTTGCTTGAATTAAATATTACACTATAAGTGGTGTAGTATTTAATTTAAGCAAAAGCTTTTACACGATCAGTCAACTTAGTAATTACTGTGAAAGGTTTTTTTATGTAAATGTTTTTTTATGAATTTATTAGACTTCGATTAATATTAAGAACGATGCAAATAGTCTTGGCACAATAATTTATTGGTAACTATTTATTTCTTAACTGGTATATTGCTTCCTAACCTGTTAAAAGATGGCTTTTACACACTTTTTGTCCCGAATAAATGAATTGACTAAGTCGATATTACAGTCATAAAAGCGGCGAACAACAGCTGCTAGTACATATGACGGAGAGCAAATGAGAACGACATATATGTAAATAACTAGATGAAGAATTTAAGTATGAGAGGGTGTATCATTAAAACATTACATTAATGAAATAAAAAAATATGATTTTCTATTCACTCACAGCTCTTTGACAACAAAGTCGAAACGATCACAAATATACTGGGACGGGGATTAATCACCATTAGTATAATAAGCAAAGCTTACTGCCTTTACAAATTCATGTTGTTGTAAAAAACAGCCTTCAGGGAAATCAAATATTTAACGATTCTTTGAAAGTCTTTGCAAGGCACAGTTAAAACCAATGCCTGTCCAATTACTGTGCTATTAAGACCCTCAGTTACTTCCTAACACAATAGGATAAAAATTGCTTTCTTTAACAGTTGGATATTAATATCATCTGTTTATTTTCATAAAAATTTGTTGAACAACGGATTTAGATAATTCGACAACCATTTAAATTTGTAAATAGTTTAAGGTAATTTTGGTTTTTTATAATCAAAGGAGGATTGCCGATGAGCACGATAATCTGTTCTCTCTGGTCGAATTTATCTAGAACATGTAGGTATATATATTTTTCAATTCAAAAAAGAACTGCCGCATTAGGAGTATATTCTGTGTCGCAAGGCACTTTACAAACAAACATAAAACGACACACAGAACATCCAGACTTAGAACAACAATTTGTGGATCACACAAAGTGTCGTCCCATGTGCGGATCGGACCCACAACACTCAGCGTAGTAGCAGCAGTAAGCCACTGCTGGCGTAGCGCAGTGGCTTACTGCTGCTACTACGCTTGCCTTGCCAGTAATTATAAATCATTTCAGCCAGAAATGTTTTCAATAATATTTATCAGCAGTCTACTTATTATAGTACAGGTTCCGTTTTGTTCCACGCTTTTTTTTTACACGGTTTTTATTAGCTTCACAAGTATGTTTGTTTGTAACCGACTCCTTTGGGCGTGATATTGACTGACTTGAAACTTTCACAATTATTTCAAACTTTGTAGATATATCGAGGACCAATGACAATACACTAATTAAAAAAAAGTAATAATAAGAAAAAAAATAGTTTAAAAAACTAAAAAACACGCTTTTTATAGAAAACCAAACTAAAAAATAGACAATAAATTTTAATAAATTTAAAAAAAAGCTTGGAGTGCTTTTTACTAATGAATACAGGCACCCAACGCAATTTATTATATTATTATTAATTTATGTTGTAAACACCCACTAAGAAATTATTCACCGTTGTCATTTTCAAAGTTATTAACACGAAATAAGAAGTAATTGCACAAAGCCGTGGAGAAAAGGTAGTTATATTTATAAATAAACGCCACAAAATATTAAGAAGTAAAATCACTTTAGAAGCAATATCTAAACTGCTACCAGCAATAATAACAATATACCGAAAACCCCTTTTATTCGACATCGCAGTTTATCGACGATAAATCACAACTTTTAACCAAAGGTAGGAAAAATCGTCTTACAAAACTACAGTTCGACAAAAGACTCGACACCTCCTTGTAACAGATCACAACACAGCAAGTTTCTATTGGCCAAATAATGCCTTGTCACGTCCCAGCCCGCCCATCGTTATCTACTTGCGATGGTGAAAGAACAACTCCGACTTACTACGAACTCTCCAACTTTAATTATTATCTTTTTAATGGATCAGC